ATTTTTACTACACATTTTATGAGACCTATGACTTTTCAACCATACATTTTATTAATTTTTATCAAAATTTACTAAAAAATTGATTTTAATTTCCACCAAAAAAGGGCATAATCTTCAACTCCACCACTCCCTTGCCCATGACCAACCACCACCAAACATTCGGGATTGGGATGGCAATGACAAAAATAAAAAGTATATTACCCATTTGTACTTTGTGAAAAGGTTAGAAACCTAGCTGCAAATGTTGCTTAATGAAAAAGATGTATTACCAATCTATCTCATTCGTAATTTGGATCTCAAAGTTCAAACGTCTTTTTTATTGGTATTAAGCACCTCAATCTTCTACCTTTAGGCATCAATGGTCCCTACCTATGGTGGCACCTCAAGCTTCTACTTTCCAACGTCTTTTTTCTTGCTATGGATGATGGGTACGAAGATGAAGATTTTTTATTTAGGAAAAATTGTAGTAGCGATCTAAAATTTTTGCATTTTTTTGCAAACTTTACCTCAACCTCCACTTTATATTACCATAAGTCCCAAACCTTTGATAAATTCGTAGCGGGAGTCCAAATTGATGGAATTCATTGACTTTTCTGTTAGTTGACCAAGAAATAGTGTTTTGAACATATTTTAACTATTTTTAAAGGAGCAGAATGATAGGAGGTCCCAGGTTGCAGTTCTTTTATTTCTTTTATTTTTGATTTAATATTTTAAATGTTTATAGTAAAAAATGTAAAGTTATAGTTTTACCCTTTTTAAAATAGTTAAAATATTTTCAAAATAATTTTTTTTTGTCAACTAAAAAAAAAGTAGATTGATTCCATCCACTTAAACTCCAACTGCGAATTTATCAAAGGTTTGGGACATATGGGGGTACAATGTAAATTTTGGGATGAAGTCTACAAAAAAATGCAAAGGTTTGGGATTGTGACTGCAATTTTCCTTTTTATTATTTGGCTATCTATGTTCAAGTTTAAAAATATCGGGGAGCCAGTCTCTCACTTCTATGAAATATCGATCATTACAAGTGCAATATCAATCTCTAACCTCTTTTTATAAATTGTTAATATTTCCGTGATTTTAAAAAAATGACAAACACAATATAACAACTTGAAAAGCAACAAGTTAAATATAGAAAGTTCGACAAAAACTTGAACATAGATAGCTAAATAATAAAAAGGAAAATTGCAGTCACAATCCCAAACCTTTGAAATATCGAGGAGCCAGTCTCTCACTTCTATGAAATATCGATCATTACAAGTGCAATATCAGTCTCTAATCTCTTTTTATAAATTGTTAATATTTCCGTGATGGTAAAAAAATGACAAACACAATATAACAACTTGAAAAGCAACAAGTTAAATATAAAAAGTTCGACAAAAAGAATATTTGGACATAATATTATCCTATATTAATAAAATATTTGGCTAAAAACCGTTCTTATGGACAAGATATACTAATTATTTGAAGGTTAAACGTATGAATTTAAAGGCAAATAATTATGAACATAAGTGCTAGAATGAGAAAAATTTTG